ATATATATATATATATATAAAGTAGCGAATAATAATGTTGAATATTCTTCTTCAAAGCGCAGAAAGAGCTATATGGTCACATGACAAATTTCCCGGAAGTCTCCTGAACGTAAAGCAGTATAAATATTTTAGCCAGGTAGTGTCGTCTTATTACTTCTTACCGTCTTGCATTTTCCGCATATTGAAGCGGGACACGCCTCGTTTTCTTTAGCATCGACAATGGTGAACTCATGACTGGACTGGAGTGTGAGGCTTTCTTGGAGGTTGTTTTTAATGTTTGTAGTTTGTTGCTATTAGCAACATACGAGCCAACGGAAACAGTAGTGTGCACGCACCACTTATTCTCGGGTTATTTTTTACGCATCTAATAAATTGCGTCACATATCAGATTATATTCATGACTTAATAGTTTTAAAGACAATTACGCAAATGTGTGATGACGTCATTTTGTTAGGGTTTTGTCTGAATTACTTGCCCACATTTGTTTGTTCAATAAAGATTATTTAAAAAAAAAATACTTGTCCACATTTAAAATGTGCGTTCGACGAGAGCGTTAGGCTGCATTGTCTTCATTGTAAGCGCCCTGTAGTGTATATGTTCAAAGCGAGTAGGAAGGAGAAAAACTCAACTAGTGCTATCCCCTTCTCTCCAAATTACTAGAAATCATGATAATACACATAAACATATAATATATATATAAATAAAATCAATGACCAAAATTGAACATCTTTATTTCTAAAATAGGGCAATACAAAGGACAAAAGGTATGACCATATAAACGATTATCCCTTTTGAAAAACTTGAGATGTTAAGGCATGCAGAGCCTGACTCTCAATTTTGTGCATCTTAAGGTTAATAGGTCCCATGAAATGGCTTGTGTCCTGGATAGTTATTGCATAAATGTGTATGATAAGCTTTTCAGTCCCTTTCGTCTTTATAATGGCTCGTTTTATTCCAAAACTAGTAAAAATCCATTAAAAAAACGCCATGAGTACACTTCGGGGTGATCCAGCCAGCCCTATGCTCGTCACACTTAATGAAAACATGTCCCTTTTAATATGTCTTAACCAACATCCACTCAAATTCGGAACATGTCTAGTCATAATATGAAAACAAAACTAACACACTTCATGGAACCTTTGCACATTAACATCAAGCGAATCATTACAGCAACATATTAGGAGGCCCACAACTTGTTCACACACTGTCCAGATAATAAATTAATACTGAAGGTCAATATTGTTTCTCACTTATATATTTACCTAACGAGTAAGAAAGCCATCATCAACCTCAAAATGTACATGGACTAATATATAACAGCACACGTCTAACAGAGAGCAAACATCCTACATCATCTGCTACATTCAGAGTCAGGGAATGTGTGGACTATCATCCTAGTGACTGATGCTCGGGGAGAAATGTCATACTAGAAGAGTGAGTTGTGAGCTTGGTCTAAAATGAATGAAAGGCATAACCTCAAACGCGAAAGAAAGGCACCCAATGGTGTTCAGTGAGAATCCAGTCTACAGCAGCGGTGGACGGAGGGGTTGTAAAGGGATTGGCGGGGGGCTGAAAAGATTCCAACTTTGCACGACTGTCTCGACCAGCTTTCTTTGGTAGTTTGAACAGACGAAGGCCCGATGGTTTAAAATGCTGGTTTGGTATATGTCTTCTAGCTCACAACACAGCAGATGTTTCACTCGTCACCATTTTAAATAACGGTATAGTGGCAACATCTCCATGACAAAACATAGTTCCAGTTGATTGTCAACCGCTTCTTGAATCTTTTCCCCAAAAGAGGGAAATCTAGAGCTCAATAAATTATATTTCTGGGACTTTTACAGACATGGCTCTATCCACTTATGTGAAAAAGGTTTAAGACTATTTGGTAAATGATCGTATATCACATTAAAATAAAAAAGCATTTTCAATAGAATCAAGTATTAGAGGCAAGTTATTTTCTGTTAGCCCTTGGACTGAAATTGCTGAACAACAGTAGGATAGGAAGACTGTTCTACAGGCAGGCTGTAGAAGTAGAGTACAGTCAGTCAAACGAAGCCAAATCATTTCGGCTTGCTTTTGTCCGCATTCCAAGAAATTAAAACCTGCTCCGTGTGCTGACATTCAGTAACTAGGCTTGAAAGTCCAGCCTGTTAGTAATGCTCCTGAGGTGAAACGGGGCAAAGCTATTGGGTGATGCAGTTTTCGCCCATGTCTTGTGCGTAGCGATCCAGTATTAGGTTACGCAACTCCTCCACATCACGACGAAGCTGTTGTGCTTCCAGCAGCTTCTTGTGTAGCACCTCTGGACTTAGCCAATCCTCATCATGCTCCGCCATTGCTACGGGTGCCATAAAGACAAATAGAACATGAAAATGCTTGTCACAGAAATTAGCAAGAAAGGCTTTATTCAAGCTTACGTGTGAGTCCGAGCAGCAGTGAGAGGTTGGGGTCTTGTCCCTGAGCCCTTTGGGTCAAAATGCTGCACAGGGAGCGCAAGTCACAGAGGCAAGAAGAAAGCTCCTTGTGGAGCCTCTGTGTCAGGCGGGCCCCAGTCGCCTGCAGACTTGAGGAGGCCTCGTTGGTGCTCTTCTGCTCTGACTCACCAATCTGCTCCTGCAGGGTCAGGTTCTGCTCCATCAGTTCCTGGTTTTGGGAAGAGAGCTGGAAGAAAGCGGTTGGAATCAGCTTTGGCCTAACAAATGCATTTTCTGCAATCGAAGCAACCAATAGATTATTCAGAATGCAGCTATCTAGAACCTCTTTCATGGCCATGTGGAGCTCATCCATGTTTTGCTCTTTGGCCAACACATCCTCTCTCAGAGCTTGGGAAGCGTTCTCTTCCTGGGATATCTGCACCTCCAAAGCCTGCAGAGGAAAACAAGAATAAGAAGTTAAGAGACAACATTAACTTAAAGTCATTTTCAAGGAACACAAGTGGTCAATTACTGTACCTGAATCTGGGAACGAAGTTGCTCCATCATCCTATGTTGTTTCTCAATAACCTGGCAAGAAAAAAAAAGGTGTCAATGATAATGTCATATGCCTTACAGAGTAAATATGTTTGTTTGGTTCATAAAACAGTTCTTAGAAATACAATGTAATTTCTGGTCAATACATAAAAACACAGCAGACCTTCTTGAGTTTTTGCTGCTCCTCTCTTAAACTATTATTCTCTCCTCTGAGCTTGTCGATGTCCAGAGAAGGCAGCCGGGCTCCATCTTCAAGGCCCTGTTGCACTCGCTGCTGCATACTAAGGAAGACGCATAGAACCACTGTTACTCTCTCTTTATATTTACAGCAAATAGCAGGAAATACACACCAAGTTTAACTATGGAAACGAATGAAATTGAAAAAACCTTTAAAGAAATGATTAACTATATTTTTACTTTATAAGACCAACTAAATATGACGAAATGTCCTTCCTTTTCATCTTTGGGAATTAATTTCATATATGAGCTTTTGGGGTTTACTTTGAACGTATTTAGTTCAATACCACTGTACAACACTACAGAAGCAAGGTCAAACCATCATTTATCCTCCACTTGACAAATACGCCATTAAAAAATAAAGAACTAATACTTAAACCTAATAAAAACTAAACTAAAATGAAGTCTTTTCAAAAACATAAAAACAAACTAACCCACTCTCAAAACTAAATAAAACAAATTAAAAAGTAAAAATGAAATAAAAACTACCGTATTTTCATGACCAAAAGGCACACTTAAGTCTTACATTTTCTCCAAGGTGGATGGGGCGCCTAATAATGTGGGTCGTCTTGTGTATGCACTCAGGTCCAAAATCTGTGAATGCTGTCCTGTGACTTTGTTGAGGGCTTCGCTTGACTGACTAATGTTGTGCGCCGACACGCTGCTTATATTGTGGAAAGGCTGGTTGCTTTACTAAGACTGGCAGGTAGCACCGGGCGAGTTACGCCACAATTTGTGAATGGATTGTGTCTGCCTGCACTGTTGTTTGAGCCGAGCTTTTGCAAAAGCCGGCATCATTTCTGAGGAGCCACACGGCGACGAGACTGACTCCGACAATGATGCGAGGGAACCTGGGCTGTTTGATGGAGAACTTTTTGTGGATGAGCATTGATTAAAAAAAAATAACGAGTACATTGTAAACAATAAACTACAACCGAACTCAGTTTTGCTCCTGCTGCCTTTTTTAAAAAATTATGCTGGACTGCATGAATGCTAGCGTATTTTTAAGCTGGCGTACGTTTTATCGTGCCAGCATCCAATAATACAATGCACCTTGTGTATGTGTTAAATACAGAAATAGCACCCGTAACTGACACTTCGCCTTTTAATACAGTCCGTAGTATGGTTGTGAAAATGCGGTGTAATGAAAAATCCAAAACTATACTAACCCAGATATATACCGTATCTACTTTGCTTTGTCTGTGTGTGCGCATACTCAGTAATGGTGGTCAGCAGATCCCTCTCCCTTCGTTTCTGCTCCTCCAGCTGTGTGTCCTTTTCTTCAAGTTGTGAGCGTGTTGTCTCTAAGGAGGCCTCCAGTTCTTTTACTTTCTCTTGAAGCCGAGCTGCCTGCTGCTCGGCCTCCTGAAGCTAAGACACAAACATATTTCGTAGCCAAGAAAGATCAGGACAATGCGTGTTCCTTTCAGGTCAAACCTCAACTGTGCTCACCACTTTGTTCTGGCTCTGGTAGTCCTCTATGGTTGGCAGGTCGGCCAGATAGCGTTCCAGAGTCTCGATGCGCTGCTGATTCTCTCGTTTTAACTCCGACTCCTTCTGACACTTCTTTTTCAGGTTGCTGATATGCTTGTCTCGACACTTAATCTGCAAAAACAGGCCACAATAATTAGTTTAAGAGTAAGAAGCAGGGTGAAGACAACATGAAAGCCACTGTTGCGATAAAAGCTCTCGTGTGTAAAATCTCCGTCACCTTTCATCAAACTTCCTCAATTATGTCAAGTGACGAGTGCACTCTGGCTTATTGGCAAAATACAAGTTTTTTTTTTTTTTAACACATTTAAAACTTATACAAATAGCCGGAGTGTAGTTGCTGTTTTCAATTGAAATATTATTTTTGGTGCTTTACTTGAGTCGTATGAACTGATGCATGTTCCTTTTGTTTTCATAAACTTTACTATCTTGCAAAACACACATTAAGGAGGCAAAGGGAGTTAACACCCACCCTGTCTTCCTGTTTCTTCATCTCCTCTGTATGCTTCTCGCATGTCTCCTTCAGGCTGTCAGTCAGTCGGCGCGTCTCAGCCTCCACTGCACCCAGCCTGCGCTCAGCCTCCGCCTTCTCGATGGCAGCGCAGTCTGTGCGCTCAGCAAATTGTGCCCTCAGGAACGCGTTCTCCCTCTGAGCTTCCTGCAATATTGTCATGTGAGTCACCATGAGGTCTGGAAGCGAAGCATGTGAAAACAAGGATGGCAACGCAGGGCTTGCAGTGAGGTTTTGCAAGAGTTACTCACCTGCAGCCGAAGCAAACACACATCACCGAAGGGAGCGCCTCGGCCCAAGAAGGCTCCGTGGACATGCAGCTCACTTTCCCTCAGACGCTGCTCCAACTGAGTCATATGCTGCCTTTGTCTACACAAAGATCGTCGCATTACAAAATGCATTTGCTATAATCTGGGAGACATAAATTTGAACTTGAACAACTGTCCCACTTTTACACATTCATATTTTGATTGATCTGAAGAAATAAAGAGGAGTAAATAGCTATGTTGCAGGATCCTTTTACCTAAAAAGCGGCAATGTGATGGTAAGGTTAAACAAACATGAGGAGTAAAATGAGTGGAAACACTTGCCGCTCTATTATAAGCTCCTTCTCCTTCAGCAGACCTTCACTGGCTTTCACCAGAGCGTCCCACTTGCCAGACTCCGGGTGCACGGCTGTTGGGTACAAGGACGGGTACTGGCCCACCCCGGCGCTCAACTGGGGTAGAGAGACACGGACGGGACAATCAGATTGACACCATATACTATGTCACACTCGCATAATATGGTCTGCAGCAAGAAGATCAAGCCAATACATTTTTGTTTTCAACACTTCATAAAAATTGTATGAAAACAAGTGTAAATACACGTTTGATAACTACTACAAGATTTTAAAAAAAGAACACATTTTAAGAATAAAACCCTATGAAAGACGACGGAAACAATGAATTCCCCAAATCCATGTGCAATGTGTGCCATGCTTTTCCCCGGACAAAAACAATAACATCATTACAGCATATGCACTCAACATTCTAAAGAGACACTCTAAAAAGAGATTTCTTCAATCAGCGCACTAATTCTAGTGTGTTCAATTTGTCTGATAGCCTCATTTTAAATAGGCCAATGTGTCTATATGCCCCCAGTCTTTGTATAGTCCAGCTCAACATGATTTTTCCAATAACGATCTCTGTGTCCGTCCACATTTCATGTTCCAAAAACAAGGGTGTGTTCCATTGGACAACTGCGATGACCCTTTATCATTGAGTCATTTCATGGAAACCACAATAACCTTTGTTTGGACATGTATGAAGCCTTGTATTTGTAAGCGGACCGTCTAATCTTGATTCAAAAACATACCTGCATTTGTTCCACTTGCATGCGTAGGCTATCCATCTGTTGCTTTTGTTGTTGTTGCTGCTGCTGCTGCGGCCAGCCAAGTATTTCGCCACAACGGTCCTGGCGTACTGGATCGTACGCTTTGGTTCCCGCATGTTCCCTCAACAGAGCCTGTGTCTGCAGGCTAAGTGGGCTCGCATAAACACCGGCAGGCTGGCTGGACCTGGGATTGGAAGGGTCGTTGGCGATGGAAACTCCGGGAAGGGAAACTCCAGACCTGGCCTCCGGGAGAACTTTGTAGTTTTGATCCGCGCCTCCTCTGTAAACCTCAGATGCAAAGTCTGAGTTGTCTCTAATCCCTGCAGTCTGTAATCGCAGTCTGACATCAGGACATAAGCCCCCCAACAAGGCTGACTGGTTCAGGGTAGGTTCCACGGCAGGCGTGTCAAACCTCTGGCCCTCATCCATTCGTGTGTGATCCGTGGGGAAAAGCGAGTGGTCCAGCCCATTGACCAGGCTTCGATAGCGGCTCAGGCAGTCTGGCTTTGGCCCAACACTCTCGCTTCCCATAGCGGGCTGAGCATCCAGGTTGGGTGAAGATGCTGATTTGGAGAGGCAGGACGATTTGGAGGTGGAGCCACTTGATGTTCTGGAGGTAGAGGAAGATCTGGATTCTTCCTGGACGCTTGCCTGGGGCTTAGAGGCCAGGGCTCCGGCTGTGGATGGCATGACATGTGCCGTTGGTATCGGGATCTGACTGCGAATGGGCTGGAAAGAGGGGCTGCTCCCGGAGCTGCAGAAATCTGCAACCCAATTAAAAATGGGTAAAATTAGCAACACATTATCTCACTGTTCCATTTACAGATGTACAGAAAAGGATCAGTGCAGAATGCTGAGAGCACTGCCGGCTATTTGCACTATTTTAGACACAGCAGTCAGTGTCTGTGGGTGGCCTACTTTGTCGTTGAATAATCAACCTTCTCTAACTAAAATACAGCATAGGGAAAACACCAATCTTCACCATTGGATTCTCGTCAAAATAAAAACCATGTTTAATTAATGTGGAATAAGCTTGTATTCAGCGCCAATCATGTTTACATGTGACACAATCCCAGTTTTGCAAGAACCAAGTAAGGCCTTCGATTACTCATGTACACACCCAATTGACATCCTGAACTACTCCCCAAAAACGTCTTCACATTATGCAAAGAAAATAATGCTCGACAACAGCTCAACAAACCTCAGAGACCTGTTCGCGTCTCGAAAACAGACAGTCATTCCAAGGCAACAAGCGCATTAGTTGCATTGTATCGCTGAGCCGAGCTGAGCGGCAGGACCCTTTAAATCCAAAAAGATGTTTGAGCCATGCATTTCTCAGCAACAGCGAATCACCCGAAGAAGCCAAGCTGACAGCAACGCTGAAGGGGAGGCCCTGTGCCCGAAGGAGTATTGTCTTCAAGCAGCCTGTGCCCAACACTGAGCAAACACATCGAACTAGGCAAACACAGGAAAGGTTAGGGGTATTTATAGCCCACCTCTCAAGTTACAGAGTGATCTGTGGGTGACGCTTATTTAAGCACCTTTACTCCTCCCTCCCACACCAACACATCACATGGACACATTCACAGTTGAAGCCTAATATGTGTTGTCTTGTTTAAATCACATCTTCCGTAAACTAGAGAATATTAACAATCACAACAAATGAGTGGAAAATAAAAGGAAACAAGCTGCTGAAGTTTAACTTCCAGCGTGTGCAAAACGGGCCTCCTCTTGGTTTCCTGATTCGTGAGTGACTGACAAGAACAAGTCTAAACTACTCTGTGAGATGTTTGCTCAGCACACATTCCGTCTTTTGCAAATTATATAATATAATTACAGTTACCTGTCACTGTAAAACAGATTCTTTGGCTAAACTCATAACTCACAACTTAGATGAATTTTACAGTCAATGGTTTACAATCTCATTGCCATCCACATCATAATAACAGGTTAGCAACATGGCTAGGGAGCTCATTGTTTGTTGTGCGCTCGCTCCTCAGTCATAAAATGGAAGGCATACATGTTCAGAATCTTGCTCAACACATTCATGTGCTGCTGTGCACCCACGAGTGTTTAATCAGCATAACACCTCGTGCGCACGCATGTTTCCAACCTCATGCTACCCCAAAAAAAAGTCCGTCCGTGTTGATCGCGATAGCAGACCTTGATACATGGGAACGTAAATGGCCGTTTGGCCCGACCACCATTTAGCAGTAATACAGTTTGACATATTTGTTTTTACTGGATGTTGAAGAGTTGGATATACAATTACAGAGAGCACTGTGGCAAGATGACTTCCTATTTCTTTTTACTTGTAATGCTTGTCGCTCTTAGTTTTGCACTTATATGCAGTAAGTGAATTTTACACATTTTTATTTCTATGCATGTGGCAAGTTGCAACTTGTTGAGTTCAAACAAATGCCTGATGTTCAAAATTAGTTTTTATTATTCATAGAGCTATTATCAACATATTTTACACTATAAAACGAACATAAGAAAAAAATCTGAATTGCTTTGATGAGTAACCAATTACTTTTACAATGCAGTAACTGAGTAAGTAACCCAATTACATTTTGAAAGAAGTCATTTGTAACTGAAACTACTAACTTTTTTAAAGGAACATACCCAACACTGGTTCTGACATTGACAGCTCTGAACAACAACATGTTCAGAGACACACTTGAAGCTCAAGCAAACCTGTGCTGACATGTTTCAATTACTTGGAAGAGTTTAATGAGGCGCTGTATCAACCCTTGCTTCAAACATGCTTCACTCTAACTGGGAATGCTTATGTTTTATGAAGCTGCAGTTAAAGAGGCTGACTTCAGGAGAACAAGCTTTAAATCGTTCATAATCATTGATTAAAACTGTCTTTAACACACCACAAAAGGGTTTCCCTGGATGAACCTAAAATGAACTATAACCTTCACTAGTGAACTTCACTTAATTCGACCTTCTCTAAACTTCAGAATGAAATTTCCAACTGTTCAACGTTGGGAACTTTGTACTTTAACGCGGAGCAAAATTCAAAACAGGTGTTTGAGCAATGAAGCAACTAATACATTGCCTGGTAAAATTAGAACTGATATTTAAACAGTCTCCATCGTCATGCTGTTTACATTCTGAAATCATGAGACCAGACGAATGCAAGGCTTCAAACAGGATGTTCACAGAGGGAAGTGGCCACTGAGCCTCGAGTATCAGAGTCTCATCAGCAGGTTGCAACACAGACACAGAGATGCCAGAAGAGTTATTGAAAAAATAAAATAAAATAAGCACACATTAAAAAACAACTTTTACTTGACCAAACCAGTAACTGAATCAGTTTCAATATCAATCCCTAGTGTGATATTGCTTAATTGTTGTTTAATGTTTTTTTAATCGCTACACAATACCAAGTAAACAACAATAATTGGTTAATAAACAGGAACCAGGAAAAATTTGTTTTGTTTGTTCAAAATTTTCTGATTATTTGAATCAAAATAATTAACAGAATAATCAATTCTAAAATGGATCCCGCCAAAATCCTTCAAAAATGCCGATGAACATTCAATACGCATTTTCCACAGAAGGGAAAATGAAGGGGGAAATCTGAACGCCCTCTATCGAAAAAATTATTTTAAAATATTGGAAAATATATTTATTTTTATTTTGGGGAAAAAAATTGGATATAAACAAATGTGCGGGTGCTGAACCGTGAATATGTGGGGCTCAACTGTAGTCCTATTTAATGTAATGTTTGATTTAAATGTGTGTGCGGGTAGACATGCATGCACACTCAAGGCAATGTTTCATTGCCGTCAGGCTCCCATTAAAAGGGTATATGTGATCTGCCTATTCGAATCCACATTTGGAATAGGTCTGACTGAGATCGGAGGACTTATAATTCCATGTTATTTTTTTCCCTCTTGAGCTGCTATGACCCATATCTGAAGTGTGCCATGTGGGATCAGAAAAAAGGGAACATTGGAATTGCATCATTTGAACCATAGGATTATAAATCCAGTCATAAATAGGAATTAATCATATACTCGTCCTGGGAGCCTACAAAGCTAAATCCTGTAACACATCATCACTCCCATTTTACCTTTAGTTATGAATTAATTTACACATACATAGTTGTGACTGCAGGTAGCAGAAGGGAAGGTAAATCCAGGAAGTGGTCTGACCTCATGGTGAAATGGGTACAATTGCAAAACACACATCCGCACAGGAAACAAGAAGCAAATGTTACCTTCTGTGCTGTCAGACGCTGATGTGCCAAGGCCAGTGTCCCCACTGGCTGATGTTTCAGGCCGGAGGCCCAGGCGATTCTGGAATTTCTCGGACAAGGTTGGCGTTTGCCACGCCATGTCAGCAAACCTCGCTGTATGCATATTTAGGAAACAGGACAAAACCATTACAACATCTATCCATTGTCCCAACTTGTTAACCAGTAGTTCTCAAGATGCTGTTTTTTGTTGTTTTTGTCATATGGTCCATGTGGACCCGTTGTCAATTGTTTTCAGTGTTTTAGCCTTGACATTGTCGAGGGAGAGGGGTCTGTGCTTGATGGTAGCACCAATCAAAATTCTGATTTTGATGGGAGGAAAGTAGGTGCTATTTTTCTGTCGCAACCTGACAGCTATGGGACACCAGTGTATTTTGCGCCTGTGGTGAGCAGCATTATTCACAGCCCCATTTTGTTTAGAGGAGATGTTGTCGGCACTGTTGGACAGTCTGCGTTGGCTGGATGGATGGTTGGTGGAGCTGAGGATGAGGAGAGAGGAGTATCGGCGCGAAGCGCGGACGTGTATTTGGAACTGAGCGTCGGTGCTTGAAATTGCAGCGGCTCAAGGTGGGACAGGAGAATTTAATCAATCTCTGTATTTGTCAATGGACACTACAGCTTCTTGTTTACTTTCAAACGTAGCTTGTAGCAGACATGTTATTTTACATTCAACGTTCTGGAAAGCCCTTTCTTACAGCTACAGTTGTTGTGAAAGGGGTATATATATAAAAATGTTGAATCCTTTTGCAAGCAGCTCGTTCATTGTGACTTATCGTGGTTTTCAACAATATCGAATATATTCTCTGCCTCTTTTTTGAGGAACAATTTGGCCTTTTAAACCACAATATTTTAATGATGATCGTTATGTTAGTGCATGGAGAGCCAAGTATTTTTCTTAGGTGATAGTAAAGTTGGGACAACCATTGCATTAGAGCACAGGTGTCAAACTCATAACCTGGTGGCCAGGTCTGGCCTACCACATAATTTTATGTGGCCTGCGAAAGCAGCTCAAATATGTCAACTTCCATGATCCTTTCTAAAATGTCTACCAAAATGTTTAATTCTCATATGTAATAAATAAGAGATATATTCTAAACATTTTTGTTACCAAACCCCTCATGATAGTAACTTAAACAATAGGTGAATCAACAGTTATTCTTGACTTCTTTATATGGTTTCAGTCATAACGGTCCTCCTAGTGAAACGGTAACTAAAATGTGGCCCGCGCCAAAAAGGAGTTTGACACGCCTGCATTAGAGCATGTGGCTTAATTATTTACAGGAGAGAGAAAGACGATGTAATTATAAAAAGTGGCAAACCTACCAGCTGGTTTGGATGCAGAGTATCTCTGTGAGGTTGTCATTCCATACACGGCGTCACCTGAAAGAATTGTGTTTTGAAACGGAATAAAGAAACAATAGACCAAGTAGAGCCTCAATAAAAGATGTTCATGTATTATCCAAGGACATCGAGACAAAATCCATGCTCAGCAGTATCCAACACTGTCATCATCAAATGAACTCCACATCTGCTTGGGCTCTCAACTTGACCCGATGGCTCCGCTCCGAGGGACAGCAACGAAAATGACAACACGAACACGATGTACCGTTACACAATCGGTTTCCAAAACACGGACGCCCCCAGAGACATCAAGGGACGCACGTAATAATGTCTCCCGTGCCTAATGAACAGACGATGTCGGCAATCTCATTCCATTACTCTAATCGTCTTTACTCGAGTCTAGCTAGTTAATTCATAATCCAAACGCGCGCCTACCTCAAACAAAAGCAAACTACAGGCAGGCTAACCACAACCACACTTATTATACCTTACTAACCATTTAAATCATTCTTACAACGAAGAGGGCTAGCCGAGTGAAATTTACACAAGAGTAGCAAATGCGTGTTGCTTGAATCCGACAACGTAACAATTATATCCCAATAACTCACAAGTAACTGCGATGCCCTGCGACGCGACCCATTTAATCTTGTTAATCCGTGACAAATCTGTTTCCGTCCAACATGCTATAGCTAACATGCTACAGCTAACAGCACAACCAACGCTCGTCCAACTGCTTCTCCCGTTTGTTAACATCGCCGCGAGAATGTTTGCTATTATCGTAGACAAGTTGGCTCGTATGGAGATGGCCTCCTTACCTTTCGCTCCTCATCGATGTAAATAGTTACAAATCTCAGTGTGAGCTCGACAACTGAATCTCAAACAACCGCTGCGACGGCAGTTGTTCCAACACTGAGCCCAACTGCGGCGCGCTGAAGGCACACAAGGCAAACGAGGCAACTAAGCGCGCTTGTTCATTGTGACGGCGTCGCCCCTCGACATAACCTGTTCAGGTTACTGTCCCACAACGACAAACGAATTGGTCGTCTCACGGGTGTATTGGTTCAAATTCAATTTAAAACCACAGACATAAGTATTTTGAAGTCGCTACTAACATTCCACCGTTCCTCGAAGAAGTGTGCTGGCGTGAGCAGTTCAACAAACACGGCTACAAACCCTAATCGAACCAACCCTACTACTTTGGGAATAAAGACCCCAAATTGTAAACATTCAAATAATAATAATAATAATAATAATAATAATAATAATAATAATATAACGAGCTTGTGCTTGTGTCTAGCGCCTGAAATAGGCAGCATTTTCACAGCCCCGCTTTCGTCAGTGGTCGGTGCTGATGGACAGTCTGCGGCTGGATGGATGCATGACTTGAGGAACCGACGATGAGAAGAAAGGAGCGTCAGGGCAGAGCGCCGATGCGTATGTGGAACTGGGAGTTGCGGCATGGAATTGAAGCGGATTTACATGGGACAGGAGAAGCGCGCCAATCTCTTTTTCGTTAATGGATGCTACAGCTTCTTGTTGCTTTAAAAGCTTAGCTTGTAGCAGACGTGTGCACATTGCAGCATGACGTCTTTGATCCACTGGTGAAAAGGACCGTTTGATTCGCTCCTCTTTCATCTATTACTGCTTCAAACAACAAAATGAATGGAGGAAAAGTGGTTAAGATGGCATGACTGTCTGTTTTATGTGTTATGTTGTATTATTTTGTCATTTTATGTTAAGTGTTCTTTTGATGGTGGCGCGGGCACCCGCAGCGGCTCCTCTTGTTGTCTGTTGTCTGTTTAAGAGGGAGGAAATTTCATCTGTGGTGTATGCACATACAAGGTACAGCACATTTGACAATAAAGTTGTACTTGATACTTGATAACGAACGCATAAAGGCATTTATGCGACTGATTTTGATCACACATCTTTATTAGCAATTCCAAAATCAACAAGCATGTTGTGATGCCTTTGAGAGATGTATTATTCGGTAAAATTGAAATTCACTATCTTTATAGAATATGCTTGCTTGTAGTAACAGGCAGGGGTTCCTGGGGCAAGCCGGAACAGTAGTTCTGTGTCATGTCTCAAATTAATGAAATCATTCTCACTGAACAATGTCATGTTCCTGAATGTGTTTATTTAAAGCTTTTCTGGACAAATGTGTGAACATAAACTGTAGTGTACAACAACATCAACACAATATAAAAATTGTGCTTGTATTTTTCACAAGTTACGAATTATTTAATTGTATATACAGGCCTGATTTGATATAATAAAATCCTTAATCTCTTATTTGAATTAAAACATTTTTGTCAATTTTAGACGACAATAACGTGGACCGGAAGCCTGGTTCTCAAGTAGCGGAACTTACTAAGTTGTGTTTAGGGACATAGTACACAGTGGGAGTGTGTTGCGTTTAGGGATAATGGTGTAAGGATTTGGTTTATGATGTTTTTTGATGTCGACATTTCTCGTCAGTGGACTTTCTTGTAGAGAGGGGACGGCCAGCTTGCAAACGCAGTAGTAAGTTGTCATCAAAAGTAAAGGTTGTAAATTAACCTGCCGGTGACGTTTTTTTTAGCTAATAATAGCTAACAAAATAAGCTAACACTGTTTGTTAAACGACACCCATGATCAAAATCCGGCAGCTGAAATGATCCTATATTCTGGAAGACGAACATATTCTCAATGTTTCGAATGTGGCAGATGATTTGCGGAGTGGCTCTTAGGACTGTCAGTGTTGTATTAGCTTAACCGCTAAGGCTATTGGGCAAGTAAACTCGTCTTGTTGTCGCGAGCAAGTTCCGCGGTGTTTGCCACTCCTCTCTAAAGCAAACTCTGTCGATCAGCTAACGCTGTATGTTATAATTTATGTACTGTATAGACAATGATGTGCCTTGTCCGAATGTTTACAGTTTGTTCAGTATACATTTAAGAACTATAGACCACCTGTCATCTAGGTGAGAGCTGGATCCTCCTTCCCAATTCCAAATGTTTATTTTGTGTTGAAGTCATGAATAACGTCAACATCACCCGAGATATCCTGCACAGGCAGATCCAGGTGAGTAATCGATCATTTACTAAGAAATAAAAAACGCCGAAAACCTAAGTGATCCTTGTTTTTTTTTTCAGAGAAATACTGTATATCTTAATGTGGTTGTTTTGTTGCTGTAACTGCAGGAGAAGAGAGTGTCAGGCTTTCAGAGGTCCTATCATGTGACCGACCCCTTCATCAAGAGACTTGGCCTGGAGGCTGAGCTTCAGGTCAGTCCCAGGAAGTGCTTGAGCGTGCGTCAGAATTGGGGGGTCAAATATCGCGTGTGTCAGGTTGTAGTTGTGGTTTCCCTAAGTGGGCCAGTTCTAACAATCAACCCATATGAATGTAAATACCCGGAGGTTGTAACGGTGACCCAAAAATCATAGTACAGTACATACAGTACCTTGGTTTTCACATTTGGTATAATAAGTGAACAAACAGGGAAAGATAATTCATACATCCATTTTCCAAACCGGTTGTCCTCACGAGGGTCGTGGCCGTGCTGGAGCCTATTGCAGCTGTCTTTGGGCTGCAGGCAGGGTACACTCTGAACTGGTTGCCAACCAATCGGCAGGAGAAAAAATTATACTGTACCATCAAAATCCGGGATCATTATGTTTTCTTTTTAAGAAACTGCAACATCAATATTTGTTCAATTGTCAATAACTATAGTAAAAAGTCGAGGGAGTATGTCTCCTGGCTGTTCAATGTTCAGAGTGGCGCGGTAAAGAAGGGTGTGCCACTGTCCATCAACATGTTGCATCTAACATGTAGTATATCACTGGTGTTAGGCAGAACCACAACTGCACCATCAAAGTGAGAAAATCAATGCTTTAGATTGGTCAAGAATTAGTTAAAATAACACACCCATGTTAAAAAAACTTTCCATGCATTTGATTGTTATTTTTCTTTCTAACTTTAAAAATAATCAGGGAAGGACTGTGGCATACTTGCAGAGGCCGCATAAAATCGTGTGGAGAGCCAGATCTGACCCGTGGGCCTTGAGTTTGACACGTGTGCATCAGCAGTTGAGAGTTCAAGACTGACCGTTTGAATTTGTACTGTTTGTGTTTGTGCAGGGACACACAGGCTGCGTGAACTGTTTGGAATGGAATGAACATGGAGAGTAAGCGAGAACTCTTTCTGGACTATACCAAAAACACTTCAAAGTTCAGGTTCATCAACAAATTCTTATTTTGCCTTTGTCAGTCTACTGGCCTCAGGCTCGGATGATCAACATGCGATCATCTGGGATCCATTCAGACTCAAAAAGCTTACTACTATGCACACAGGCCATGCAGCAAACATATTCTCTGTTAAGGTAAGAGTGGTGTGCTGAGCGATTCAGTCAATGGCACCTGGAGAAGTTGGTGACTCATAATGAGGAGGGTTGTCTGACTGCTCCTTTAATTTGACCTTGATATGACTCCTCTATATTTTTTTACTTCAATGACAAAAATGGTTATCTGAAGGGCAGCACAAATAATCCCATTTTATTCTCCTGTATTTGATATTGCATTGTTCAAAAGCTGCAGTAATGTGTAGAAACCCAAGCATCCAAAGAATTTAGTAATATTTCTGAGCCAATCATGTGGCACTTGTATGAATATTAATTTCATGCTTAAGTGACCAAATTACATTTGGGAGTAAATCATGCAATAATCTCCGGAGATCACCCTTTCCTTCCTCCAAGGAACCTTTTGTACATAAGGTGGCGCTGTTGGCTACTAATTAAGTGGCAGGTCAACATTTGCTCATCGAAGCTCTGGTGGCTCATATTTTGTTTGCTCCAAAGTTTACCCTACAGAAAGAGGGTAATCATAGCACATAATTACAATCCTGTGAAATAATAGGATGTCAGGTAGATATTGAAGTTGTTATTGTAATAATCTCGCCATGTATTTTAGTTATGTTTGAGTTGTGACAATACTTGGATGAGTGGTTCATTGACATTTGTTCCTGTGCAAAAGAGCAAATCTCATCTACCTGGGGAATGTGACAAATGACAAACAAAGGACTCACAGCACTTTTTAAAAATAACTCTATAATGTTAATTACACTGCTATCTAGGTATCATTTAGTCCTATAACTTCTGTGAAATGTATTTTTTGGACACTTTGTAGAACATAAATTACACACCATCCAACCCAATGCAGGTAGGCATAATTGATGATCTTTCACAGAACATGAGTCACTGTGTATGAATAAATTATTTTAGTGTAAATGCATAAAACGTAATAAAATAATAAATGCACACCTGCGCTCAATGCTTATGTGCACACTTGAGCTAATTGTAATGTGTGTTTCTCCACCCAGTTCCTCCCGCACTCAGGAGACAGAATTTTGGTAACTGGTGCTGCGGACACTAAGGTCCACGTGCATGACCTGACAGCGAAGGAAACCATCCATATGTTTTCTGATCATACCAACAGGGTCAAACGCATCGCAACCGCGCCCATGTGGCCCAACACCTTCTGGAGCGCTGCAGAGGATGGCATCATCAGGTAAGAACCCTGGGAATTATTTTGTTCCGTCGATTCAATGGCGATCCTGTGGTGATCCCCCCCCACCCCCCCACCCACAACGCCTATGCTTACTTCTCCCTTGCATGTGCAGACAGTACGATTTGCGGGAGAGCAGTAAACGCTCTGAGGTGCTGATTGACCTAACAAAGTTCTGTGGGCGCTTTGTGGAGGCCAAATGTTTGGCTGTCAATCCACGGGACAACAACTACATGGCCGTTGGGGCCAACGGTCCCTTTGTACGTCTCTATGACATTCGGATGATTCAAAACTGTAGGTGGGTTTGTGCTCGCTGCCCTAATGTGGAAACATGCATCCACCGCTTCACGTGTGAGATCATAACTTAGGTGTAAAACATTTCCAACCCCCTCCCCCCCGAAAAAAAAACAAACAAACAGAAAATCACTAAACCGATGGAAGCAATCTGCTGTGCGCACGTTCCTTGAAAATCAGAGGCCCATCCCGGACAATGCTGTGCAGTATTACGTTGCAGGTACTGAAATCTCATTGATCAATCATGGGTATAGTTCAATACAACTTGATTGTTGTGGCCATTGTGGTATAAAATCCCCGCTCTTTTGTGTGTTTCCCTCACCCTCTTCTTCAGGTCACCTGCCGGAGAAACTGATGCACTACAATAACCGCTTGAGGGTCTTGGTGGTCACTTATGTCACGTTTAGTCCAGATGGAACTGAGCTACTTGTCAACATGGGCGGGGAACAGGTAGAGATCCTCTACTTGGGACGCATTCCAAAATCAGTCCTGATAACCTGGCTTTGTTTTGTGTGCGGTTACTACTATTCTCTAGGTTTATCTGTTTGACTTGACGTGTAAACAAACACCATACACATTGCTGCTTCCAGAAACGTGCCAACCATCAACAGGTGGGTGTGTGTCATGTGCAGAGCTTAGCACATCCCCCCCCCCCAAAAAAAAAGAGAGCAAACAAATATTTTAGAAGTCTTTCTGTTTGTTTTAAAATAAAAACGTTAGAGTTCACTTTTGAACAGGAATAAACACTTCCAAACCAAGTTAGAAATTAATGAAGCATAATGTTCAGTTTGTTTTTTTTGTTAAACAACACTTTAGTTTATATTTGCACAGTTAAGCTTGGTATCATTTAGTCATTTAGTTACTGCATATCTCTATATTGGTTTATTAACTGCTACATATA